TCCCTAACTATAGAACATAATATAGACTCTCCAAAAATTGTGCACAATGACTTATATCAAATTTGTCTCGCTCAATATTTAAAAACACCTGTGCTCTGTGTTCAAGAAAATTCCTTTATAAATATTAATAAAAACTTCCAGTCGATGGTTACTACACATTTTTAAAATGTTTACACCATATTAGCTGAGACAAAAGCACCTTAGAAAGCTAGCCCGTCCTACTCCTTCTAATCGCGACACTATGCTTGTGGAACTCAGATTTTTGAGAACCTTTAGTGAAATTAACAATGCGAACAAAACTCAATTTGTTTTACTCCGTTTTGAAGCCATTGAAGATTATATTCTTACTATTGTTTAAACGAAAACGTATTGGCACAAGCGCAACGTTACTGAATGGGAATGGGTTACACTGTTCTTCGCTTCTTTGGTTCGTAAGTTATATACATATATATTAAAGGGATGTTTGCAATAATCTATGATGACTGTTTGAAGAATGGCACATTCTTACCGGTATCAAATACATCAAAGAATGACGGCATTAACCAAGGCACCTTCCTGTTGCAGTATCCGACTACCTCTCCTCCCTACCATTATACTATATCTCATTAAACTAGTTATAAAGTATGGGCAGAAATTCTTTACAATTTATATTGTCTTTTATCAGGAGATCGTAATTATGCGTGGGCTAAAGTAGGCTACTATCCCTAAAAGTGTTATTTGTGAACAGTGACGCAGATCACATACGCATGCGACATGAGAGGCGCAAAGTGTTGTGAACAGTTTCACTTTTCGCACGACAGAGATTTATACAATTTATGAAGAAATAAACTTTAAAAAAAAATTAGCCTCAATTGCTGTGGGAAAATATTATTAAGTTGAGACAAATTGATACAAACTGTTGTGCAACTTTTAGGTGACATTGATCCACCCTTTTAAGATAATATATTTGAGCATAAGCTGCGTCACGAATTTTTGAACGTACTATAGTGAATAATTAATTTAACACCACTGTATTCATAGACTGAAAACATGATAGTAAACTAGACCGTGCACCGTCGTGGCCACCACTCTTTGTTTTCTTCAAAAATTTAGCTGAGAAGCGTGCGCGTTATGGGCGCCCAAAATGAAGGGCAAAACACAAGTATCGCTACTGTCGAGAGTGCGTGGCACCCTCCTCACTTGCCCTTTAGTTCTCTCCAAATTAAATCAATAATATTAATAGATGCATTTATATAGCGCATATCCACGCTCAGCAGAAAGATCTCTGCGCTTTACAAACCAATTAGTATACCCAAGCAGACCCAAGAACACGCAGAAAAGTTATCGCTCTCTCGGGAAGCATACAGTGGAAGCTGCGGATTTCACGCTCTCAAACACTAACAAACTGACAAGATCTTTCAAATGGCGCGCTCCATACTCCATGGGGAACCGGAACTACGTCGAAGTGCACGGTCTAGGATATTATGATGCAGGTCTATGACATTACCAGGACACATGTAACCAAACATACAATAGTAAAGTAAACATGCTTAAACACAAAACGCAAAATCTTTATCCAATATTTCGTTGAAACGATGTCAGTGAAAGGCACAGTTAGTTACATCACGTAGGTATACAATGTTTTCGGTTTTAAAACTTACAGTATGAGTATTTAAATTTGTGTATTTTTCAAAGAGTCATTGAAGTAAAATACCACAAAAAGATCAAAGAGTCATTGAAGTAAAATACCACAAAAAGCAAAACAATACAGTTATAATATGAACTAACTCGTAGCATGTACATAATAACGCATTATATTCTTATGCATATCAGAGACCATAGACTTGTGAAATAGGATTAACCCTTTTAAAGTCGACCCTTATGTGATTTCCTATTTGCTCTTTTTCTCTACATTTTCGGTAACCACAAAAAACGGGTTGATTAACGGAAACATTCAATGTGTAACCTGAACCCCACACAGATAAGAAATTACTTTATAGCATGCAGAATATTCCAATAAACAGGATAAACTCTTAATAGAAATACACCACACTATCTAAAATCGCTCTGTGATGTTCCCCACGAAATGTGTTTGACATGTTTTTTTGGTTTTGTTAAGTGTTTTACGCAACTGCATAAGGTCATATGAGCGCGCGGGACACACCTAATATTTTCAGTTGGTAGGAAATTTTGAATTTTGCCCGGGTGGCGGCCGAAGCCAACTCTATTCGATTTTTAGACCACCAAGGGATCTTTAACGTGCGCAACTTGCACACGGGCCCTCCGAGAATTTCGCCCTTGTCCGAGAAGGCTAGGTGTAGATCTTTCCTACCAGAAGATCAGGGGTGTGGCAGAAAGACAGCAGTAAGAAGAAGCCAAGGAGTAGCAGTAGAAAGGCTGCAGAAAGAATCAGGAGCCCAGAGGAAGGGGCAAAGGAGGTGAGGGGGTGGGAGCAGAAAGAGGAGACGAAAGCAGACGACAGAATATTGCTCGCGAGCAGGAAAGGAGGTGAAAGGAGACAAATGTAGAGAAGAAAATATTTCGGTCGCTACCCGGATTCGAACCCAGGACCTTTTTGAATGAGAGGCCAACACCTTAACCTCTAGGCCACGAGAGCCCCTGTGTTTGACAGTCACCGTGGTGGCTCAGTTGGTTCGTAACATGACCAAGTACGCAGAAGGTCCAGGCTGGAGCTTCTGTCTTTGAAATATCACATTCCTTAACTAGGGTGTTAAACTAGTTTTAAAGAAAAATTAAAGATACTCTTCAAAAACACTCTCGAAAACGAAAAAAAAAAAAAATCAGGTAAACCCTAACATGCAGACTTGTCTATATAAATAATCCGACTTTGGGAGCCACTGTATCTTTTTATCACATCCATCCATGCAGTCAAGCTTACAAATAATCTTCAAATACAATTATCATGCACACTTGTCAAATAAAAAGCTACACTCTTTACAAAAACGCTGTCAAAATAGAAGCTACAAACCATGCAAGCTAATCAAAAGTAAGCAATTCAGCAAGGAATATTACCCAATCGCTACCTTAGAATTGAAAAGTTCTATCTGACATTTTTCGCCGTTTAGAGTTACCAAAGAGTCTACATAACAAGATGGGCCACACATTTTCTTTGAGCCAATTAAAAAAGTGTCCTCAAAATTCAGTGGCACCCTCTTCACAAATGCGCACACTTTGCGAACAGAGTTACCCTACTTGTGTTTAAAAAATCAAAGTGAAACTAACAAGTTTTTGAATAAATAAGAATTCAAATTTCAGAAGAACGCTTTTTAGAAATGGTTTCGCTGATTAAAAAAACCTTTTCCAGGGGAAAGGGCGACTGTTTTCTTCGTTTAATTTGACTTTAGAATGAGAGACGAGAGGTCACTAAAATTTTAAAAACCTAAAACTCCGCACTGAACGAACCCGAACAGCTGATGAACAGCAGTCGATCTGCGCACGCAAGGGGGTGCTATTCCTATTCTTCTTCTGGAGAAACGAAAGAGAGCTTCAAAACAGACTGCAGCGCCATCTGAAGCAATGAGCAGACTTCCGGAGGACACTTTTTTTGCCTGAGTGGACCATCTTGTTATGTACTATCTTTGGAGTTACTAAAACAATGAGGTCAGAAATCGAATGCTCTGTCGGCTCTATCAAAATCGTACCATTATTCGGAGCCATCATCACGATATTAAAAGAATTGCATTCGAAAAAACTTGACACGTTGTGAAACTCAAAAATTTTTAACGTCAAATTTCTCAAAACTAGGCACTGGACAGATAGAACTTTGTAATTCTTGGATTGTGCAATATCAAACTCCACTACAATTGGCTTGCTGTATTTTAAAAAACCTGTTACAGTCAGTATGACATTCTAAATGATTCAAATCGGGCGTACGTGCCAATTGACAAACTGCATCTCTGCAGGATAGTCTCAAGTAAAAGATTT